GCTTCTTGGCAGGGGGTTGGACTGGATGACCCATGAGGTCTCTTCCAACTCTTTGATTCTATGATTCTATGCCAACATACCACTGAATAAGTGAAAATGTTGGATAATAAGGAGGGATTAAGGAAAAGCCTATTAAACATCAAATTATGTTATTATTTTACAAATTAAGCACCAAAATATCATGTTTTACAACCAATCGACAGAAAAGCAGTTCAGTACACGGTAACGTTAAGTAGTACTTACTGCATTTACAAATTTAGCACCAAAACATTGCAATGTATTGAAACAGCTGTAGATCCGGGCGGGAGGCAGACTGTGTTGGATCATACAGAACGCTGGATGAATGAAGGTTGGATAAGTGAGACTCTCCTGTACTCAATTATAATTTATATTATACTTTATTATAAAGATCTCGAATAAGATTATTTATTTATTTTAATTACATGTTAATATTATTCATAGTGCAATAACTGCAATGGATTTACTACCAGTAAATGCGTTTACGTGACAATCTTAACTGGGGCTTATTTTTGGGGAAGGGCTTATATTACAAACATCCTGAAAAATCATGAAAATTGAAATCCAGTACATTTGGAAGATCCAACCAGTCCATACTTCAAGAAATAAAGCCCGACTGCTCATTGGAGGGAAGGATAGCAGAGGCCAAGATGAAGTACTTTGGCCACATCATGAGAAGAAAGGAAAGCTTAGAGAAGAGAATGATGCTGGGGAAAATGGAAGGAAAAAGGAAGAGGGGCCAACCAAGGGCAAGATGGATGGATGGGATCCTTGAAGTGATTGGATTGACCTTGAAGGAGCTGGGAGTGGTGACGGCCAACAGGGAGCTCTGGCGTAGGCTGGTCCATGAAGTCACAAAGAGTTGGAAACGACTGAACAACAACAACAACCATTTGGAAGGCCTGGTTCAAGCCATGGGTGGCCTTGTTTAAGAAGCAGTGCCTAATTTCACAGAATCATAGAATCTTAGAGTTGGAAGAGACGATGTGGGCCATCCAGTTGAACCCTATTCTGCCAAGAAGCAGGAAAATGGCATTCAAGGAACCCCTGACAGATTGTCATCCAGCCTCTGTTTCAAAGCCTCCACCACACCCCGGGGCAGAGAGTTCCACTGCTGAACAGCTCTCACAGTCAGGAAGTTCTCCCTAATGTTCAGGTGGAATCTCCTTTCTTTCCTGTAGGTTGAAGCCATTGTTCCATTGCGTCCTATTCTCCAGGACAGTAGAAAAAAAACCTGCTCCCTCCTCCTGATGACTTCTCCTCACATCTTGATCCCTGGCCCTCATCATGTCTCCTCTCAGCCTTCTCTTCTGCAGGTTAAACATGCCCAGCTCTTTAAGCTGCTCCTCATAGGGCTTGTTCTCCAGACCCTTCATCATTTGACTCATCCTCCTCTGGACACATTCCAGCTTCCTTCAATTGCGGTGCCCAGAAGTGAACACAGTGTGATTCCAGGTAAAGTGGTCTGACCAAGGCAGAATAGAAGGGGAGCATGACTTCCCTGGATCTAGGACATCAGATCGGTCCTTTTCCTTTTAACATTTCGAAAGAAGGTCAAGACTTGGCTCTTTGAGCAAGCATTTGCAGACACAATATAATAGACATGGAGAAAAAAAGAGAACAACTCGACGACGCTATTGGATAAAGCTTTTAACTAGGAGACTCAAGTTGATATATGTTTTTATTGATATTGATTGTTTTACTTGGTTTTATACTTAAATTGACTGTTTTTAATTGTATTTTATGTCTTTGATACTGACTGTAAACTGCCCTGAGTCGCCTGCGGGCTAAGAGGGGCGGTATATAAATGTAGCAAATAAATAAATAAATAAATTGTTCCACATCCTTGTCTAGGAGCATCAGAAAACAAGCTTGCTCCCTCCTTCCTATGACTTCCCCTCACATCTTGATCCACGGCTCTCATTATCTCTCAGCCTTCTCTTCTGAAGGCTAAATATGGCCAGCTCTTTAAGCCGTTCCTCATAGGGCTTGTTCTCCATACCCTTGTTCCTCTGAGTTGTCCTCCTCTGGACACATTCCAGCTTAGAGTCAACATCTCCCTTCAATTGTGGTGCCCAGAATTGGATAAAGTGTGATTCCAGGTAGGTGGTCTGATCAAGGCAGAATAGAACATGGGGAGCATGACTTCCCTGAATCTAAGCACTCGACTCCTATTGATGCAAGCCAAAATCCACTGGCTTTTTTTGCTGCCGCATCACATTGTTGGCTCATGTTCACTTTCCTCCCCATGAGGACTCCAAGATCTTTTTCACACATCCTGCTGTCGAGCCAGGCATCGTCCTCAATTCTGTATCTTTGCATTTCCTTTTTTTCTGCTTAAGTAGGGTATCTTGCATTTGTCCTTGTTGAACTGCATTGTGTTGGTTTGGGCCCATAATCTTTCTAATCTGTGAAGATCATTTTGAATTCTGCTCCTGTCTTCTGGCTCTCCCTCCCACTTTGGGCCTAACTGCAAACTTGATGATCATGCTTTCAAACCCTTCATCTAAGTCATTAATCAAGATGTTGAACAGGACCAGGCACAGGACAGAACCCTGCTTATGGTACTCCACTCATCACTAATTTGATTCTAGGGCATCTAGATGCCAGGCGAAAACTAATCTGACCATATAAACTACATCAAGACCAAAAACAATTAAGATATTTAGTACAATACCGTCGGAGGAACATCTCTGGCCCAGAAAGTCAAAGTGTTCCACTCCAGGCTGTGCACAAAGTTACTTCGATGCTCCCCAAGACCATAAAGGTACAAAGATGGAAGGAGGGTAGAAATCTGGAGGAACTGATCGGCGAAGAACAAGGGAGCCACTGTCGTGTTCAACCTAGAGAAAAAGAACCACAGATGACAATAGAAACAGCAACAACTGGGCCCAAAGTTGTGGACAAGTTAGGTGTTTATTATAGTATTAAATGGGGAAGAATGGTCCTTACAGCACTGTCCCTGACGTTTTCCGCTTCACTATCAACCCAAAGGGCTCCTTGGAGAACTCAACGGTATAGATGGGATTCTCTGCTCTCTTTGTCACCGGAGGTACCTCCAAGGGAACTTCGTACCGAGGAGATGTGGCATCGGTGATCTACAAGAAATGTTTGTTAGAAAATTCAGACAAGGACAAGTAAAATAGAGAAGAAAAAAGTGATGACTTCTGACAATTAAAAGGTTTTGTGGATGGTAGCAACGGGAAAGTCCATTTGAGCCAAATAATAAGCCAAGTAAGCAATCCTTGTGGTTAGAATTGTTGGAAATAGCAACCTTCCAAGCCTTCACTATTTGTTTTATTTATTTATTTATTTATTTATTTATTATTTAAACTTATATGCCGCCACTCCCCTGGGGCTCGGAGCGGCTTACAAGACTAGCTAAAATCTAACACAATTTACAAACAATTTAAAAGAATTTAAAAACAGCAATATCAAAGATCAAAGGCCTGTCAAAACAGGTATGTCTTACATGCCCTGCAGAAAGCTGATAAGTCCCGAAAGGCACGGACTTCAGGTGGCAGAGTATTCCAGAGTGATGGTGCCACTGCTGTGAAGGCTCTGCGTCTGGTTGCTGTTAGACGCAAGGTCTTGACACTGGGGACTTCCAATAGATCTTGGTCCTCAGAACGGAGGGATCTCTGGGGTTGGTAGGGGGTGAGGCGGTCCCTCAGGTACATCGGCCCCAGACCATACAAGGCCTGAAAGGTGAGTACCATCACTTTGAAAGTGATCCAGTGCTCAATTGGTAACCAATGCAGCTGCCGTAAGATTGGTGTTATGTGGCATCTCATCGGAATTCCCGCAAGAAGCCGAGCAGCTGCATTTTGTACCAACTTGAGCTTCCGGATCACCGACAGAGGAAGGCCAATGTAGAGGGCGTTACAGTAGTCCAGTCTTGAGATGACCGTGGCCTGGATCACCGTAGCTAGGTCATCCCTGGACAGGGAGGGGGCCAGCCGTCTAGCCCGCCGCAGATGAAAAAAGGCGGTTCTGCTCATGGCGGAGACCTGGGCTTCCATCGTCAGCAGAGGGTCCAAAAGGACTCCCAGACACTTTACCAATGATGACGGGTGTAACGCCTCGCCATCCAGGGTAGGCAGCTGGATGTCCCCACTGCCCGGTTGACCCAGCCATTGGATCTCAGTCTTTGCTGGATTCACCCTCAACCTGCTGGCACGCAACCATCCAGTAACAGCCTTGAGGCACTGATGGAAACAATCGGGTACAGAGTCCGGTCGGCCTTCCATCTTAATGTTAATGTATATATTTGCTAATCTATATTGTATGTATATATAGATTTGCCAGTTTGACTGACCTCTTTGTTGTGTCTGTACTGAGCATGTTCAGACTCAAAACTCCATTTTAATATCAGTATGATTTTTTTTACAACACCATAAAGAAAAAGATCAGAAAATGCCTGGCAACCAAAAGGAAGGAGGAAGGCCTGATGGATCTTCGTCATAGAGGATGGATCAACACCACCTCCTGAGGCTGGATTTGAGCACAACCTCCAAGGCGCCAAAAAGCTGGACCTCGACATAACATACCTCCTTTCTGTCTGTTTCTGTCCTGTCTGTCCAAACGGCATTTAATGTTTGCCGTGTATGTGTACTGTGATCCACCCTGAGTTCCCTTGGAGAGATAGGGTGGAATATAAAGTGTTGTTATATTATTATTATTATTATTTTTATTATTATTATTAGCTGTCCCCTGCCACGCATTGCTGTGGCCCAGTCTATGTATGTGTTTTGTGTGTACTTTCCTCAACCCATCGTACAAGATCATGGCTCACCTTGACGTGTAACCGGGTATCGGTTTCAAACTCCACACTGAGCTGCAGTTTCTCAACATCTTTTGGGTAATAGGCCTTTGCTTTCCTGGTCAGGAACCCCACCAGCCCCATTTCGGTCTCGTTCACGTTCCCCAAGGTGTAGCTGGGGAAATCCGGGGGGTAGAAGCACCAGGGCACCCCGTTGGTGCTTCCAGAGGACTGGTCACTATCAACAAAACAGCACCCTCGGGCCTCGCACAGTTCCCGCGTCACCACGGTGTTCCTTTCTGGGTAGCAGTCGAAGCGGAGGTCTTCCGGGACGGAGACGCACTTGGCCAGGGGGGGCGTCCCGTGTTGACTCCACCAAATCTGGCCCAGGACCCAAACGGTCACTCCGCTAAGCAGAGCGGCCACCATCAGGAGACCTCCGCCCAGCCACCAGGCAGAGAGCTTTTGGTGGCACAGTGGTCTCCCATCCACGTTCTCCTCTCCAGCGTCCGGGACTTGATTGGCATCTGTGGTCAGCTTCTGATAGGATTTCATTTTCTGTGAGCTGGGCGACAAAGGAAAAGAAATGCAATTGGAACAAGAATGAACAGACATTGTGCGTAGGGCCGACTTTGGAGGCTATTTTGGTACTTCACACCAGTTCAAAAAGACAGCTTCTGAAATGGTGGACAGGATCAAATCAGTGGAGTGTTGCTTTTACTTTTAAAATGTTCCTTGGCAGTCTAGCACAGGCATCCCCAAACTGCGGCCCTCAACGTAGTCCCCTGACATTAAGTCCAGTCATGTCTGACTCTGGGGTGTGGTGCTCATCTCCATTTCTAAGCCGAAGAGCCAGCGTTGTCCGTAGACACCTCCAAGGTCATGTGGCCGGCATGACTGCATGGAGCGCCGTTACCTTCCCGCTGGAGCGGTACCTATTGATCTACTCACATTTGCATGTTTTTGAACTGCTAGGTTGGCAGAAGCTAGGGCTGACAGCAGAAGCTCACGCCGCTCCCCAGAATCGAACCTGCGACCTTTTGATCAACAAGTTCAGCAGCTCACTGCGCCACCGGGGGCTCCTCATAATATAATATAATATAATATAATATAATATAATATAATATAATATAATATAATATAATAATACTATAATAATATAATATAATAATATTATTATAATATATTATGTTACAATATAATATAATATAATATAATATATAATAATATAATATAATAACATAATATAATATACTAATATAACATACTATAATATACAATAATATAATATAATAATAATATAATATAATATATATTTTATATTATTATATATTATATTATATTATAATTGTATATTATATTTTATTATTATTGTATATTATATTATATTATATTATATTATATTATATTATATTAATTATATATTAATTATATTATATATTATACTAGCTGTACCGGGCAACGCATTGCTGTGGCATAGTGTGATGGTATGAAAAATAAAGTAATGAGAAATTTTGGGCAAGAAAGATGCCAGGAGAAAAAGGAAGGAAGGAAGGAAGCCCAGTGCAGCCCATAGTGAGGCAAGAAGAAGCATGAGGAAAGAGGAGGGAAGCAGCAGAGCAAAGGTGGCCGCCCGGCAGGAGGGGAGAGAGAGAGAGAAAGGAAATTCATCGGTTTAAGCTGAGGCCAGGGACCGGGGAGGGAAGAATCATAGAATCAAAGAGTTGGAAGAGACCTCATGGGCCATCCAATCCAACCGCTTGCCAAGAAGCAGGAATATTGCATTCAAATCACTCCTGACTGATGGCCATCCAGCCTCTGTTTAAATGCCTCCAAAGAAGGAGCCTCCACCACACTCCGGGGCAGAGAGTTCCACTGCTGAACGGCTCTCACAGTCAGGAAGTTCTTCCTCATGTTCAGATGGAATCTCCTTTCTTGTAGTTTGAAGCCATTGGTACCAGTGTTGGCTCAAGGCACTGCCTTGAGCAGGGGACTGAACCCAACTCTCCACTCGACCATGAAACTCTCCTCATTGATCCTGGGATGACAAGAGGGGTCAGTCCTCTCTAGATGTCAGCTTTTGGCCCTGTGTTTTTCATGTCCAAAATGCTTTTAGTGATGATTTATTATTATTATTTGAAACACAACAAGATGAGTCCACAGCAGACACACAGGCTGTTGAATTGGATCATACGTCTGATTAATAATAATAATAATAATTATTATTATTATTATTATTTGTAGCACAACAAGATGAGCCCACAGCAAACAAGATCACTGCTGGCTGTTGTATTAGATCATACATTTGATTAATAAATTATTATTATTATTATTATTATTATTATTATTGTTTGTAGCACAACAAGATGAGTCCACAACAAACAAGATCACTCTGCTGGCTGTTGTATTGGATCATACGTCTAACACTTCCCAAGTGTCTAGGACTATGTGATGTATCTGTGAATAATGTATCTGTGAAGAGAAACTGCAAGATTGTAAAACTTGCACCAGACTTCTGAAAATAATTACATAAAATGGGGAAATTGTTTCAATTCTTAATTACTCCTCACACTATTCCTGCATGGCTCGATATTGGATCGTAAGCTAATTTAAATACGAATCCATAACGAGTTTAGAAACTAACGAACACGATCGCCCAAGCCTAATGGGTAAAGGTAGTCCCCTGACATTAAGTCCAGTCATGTCTGACTCTGGGGGTTGGTGCTCATCTCCATTTCTAAGCCGAAGAGCCAGTGTTGTCCATAGACTCCTCCAAGGTCATGTGGCCGGCATGACTGCATGGAGCGCCGTTACCTTCCCACCGGAGCGGTACCTATTGATCTACTCACATTTGCATGTTTTCGAACTGCTAGGTTGGCAGAAGCTAGGGCTGACAGCGGAAGTTCACGCCGCTCCCCGGAATCGAACCTGCGACCTTTCGATCACAAGCTCAGCAGCTCAGTGCTTTAACCCACTGCGCCACCGGGGGCTCCACTTATTAGTAGTATTATATTGTATTACATAATACTATTATATGTATATACAACATATTATATTACAATATATTATATTATTAGAATAGCACAGATATTGTATACATAACATATATATATATAACATATGATACGCAATATATTACATTACATTATGTATGAATATACTGTGATATATCACACAAATACTGTAGCCTGTATCTGATAATATATACCACTACATATTGATATATTACAATATTCAATATACGGTCATCTATTTGATTGTCACCTTTAACAAGCCTGTATTCCAACACGTGTGCTATCCATACATGCGCATGCGCAAACACTTCCCCCACTCTCCCGCGCTTCCTTTTCCCCATGAATGAAACAGGCACCACAAATGGGCGTGGCTACCCACGCCAGCTCCGAGGTGATTGGAAGGAAACGAAAGTAAGGGCGGGGCGGAGAGGCTGAGAAGGGGCGTGGCTTAGCTTTCCCCCTGCTCTGACGTCAGACTGTGGCGAGTAGTGACATCCCAGACCGGAAAACAAGCCCGGAGCGCGCTGATTGGCTGGCGGAAAAAAGGGGGCGGAGCCACCCGCGCGCTTGTTGCTGTTTGGTTTTTTTTTTTTTTTCAAAGTAAGTGCGCGAGGCTGCGAAGCGGGCGGGCAACGGCGAAGCTCCTCGCCGTGTATGTCCTTCTCTGGCATATAGTTTCGGTTTCCCCCGCTTCTGAGCTCGGGTAAGTCGGGAGGCTAGGCCTCGTTCGGTTCGGGAGGGAGAAGGGAGCGGGGACGGAAGGGAGGAGTGAGGCTCCTGAGGGAAGAAGGCTGAGGGCCTCGCCTGGCTCGCTGGCGCATGCGCACATTGGCAAGGGAGGAGTGAGGCGGCGAAAGGGGGAGGGGCTTAATTGGGAGGGGCTGAGAGAGAGAGAAGGAGGAATTTGCTGAGTCATGCTCTCTCTGCGGGGTCGGGGAAAGAAGAAGGGGAGGAATTTGCTGAGTCACTGCCTTTGTGAGCACGTGTTCCAAAAGTCTCTACAAAATGGACAAACTCATACTCTTGTTTTATATTACTGTAATATTATATTTTGTAGAATTACTTACTTACTTAGGCGATCCCTCGTTGGACGAGTAAGATGGTCTTCCATTATGGATTTCCTTGTGGG